TTAATGAATTCGTGTTGAATTGTGAACATTTCAATTATTACGAAGAGTAAAATATCTCTCTAACCTTCTCAGTATTCGAAATGCAGTATTAGGCTGGGTTTAATTTTTTTTATCGAGGGCAATGGCGCTTAAGAGAGATTGAAGCATTTGAACAGTTATATCATAGCATTTCATTGTAGCACATTATCACTTCAGACTAGTAAACTCAGTCCATATACTTTAATTTAACTGTCGGTAGGGCTTCCTAAGTGTTTGCTAATTGCGTCCTTCCTTTGTTGGGAGGTCATTTATCGTTGTTATGTATTAATATGTACTCTCCAATAAAAATGAAATAAATTAAAAATATTTTTTTCATGGAACTATATCGAGTATTACTAGTTTCTTTTGCTAATGAAATTGAATATTTAAAATTTCAAAAATACAATCATTTTTTTTCATCATTCTCCCTTGTTTTTTAACTGGTAGTTGGGCATATTTAAGTGTGCGCCTTCAACAATGCAACACGTTAAATTATCTTTTACATACATTTCCATATTAACCTAAAAAATTATCATTTTCCTGAAAACATATTTCATTATATAACGCTTATAATTTATCAGTTAATTTATAGTTAAAAAACATTGGACGGTTACCTTTCATTGGTTTGATAGCACAGTGTAGCAAAACTAGCATCTTACTCCGTCATTTGAAACGATACACGCAAGGGGAACACCAATCTATGAATCTGCCTTAGCTGCATTAGAGCGTCCTTGTACCTTCGCGTAAAAGCACATGAGGTGGGTGAAAACACATGAGTGGCAATCTTTGATCGAATTTGCAAGAGATGTAATTAATACTTTGAACAATTTTACTGATTACACTTTTATAATCAAAGTTCATATAAAACCTCGGATCTCAATTATGTATTATCGTGTAGAAGTTAAGGAGAAATGCAAAAGGTTATTGTAAATGTTTTAGTGCGGCATTAAGAATTTATACCATTTTAACAACTTTTTTAAACACACAATAACCATTTGACACCACAATAATCGCGTCGTATTTGAATAGAAAGGTGAAAGTTTTTTTAGAAATTACCTCATTCGCTATTTTTCAAATTCATCCAGGTGCTTGGTTCGCATTGCTCAGGTGGTAAAGTTATACATCTCTTAGAGCAAAATTATAGGCAGTTCTCGGTTTTTGCTAATATTTCAGAAAGACGTAGCAACAAAAAAATACTAACGTAGAATAAATTTTTAAGAAAAGTAAAATGTGAAAAATGTGTTCTATATTACAAAAATAAACTACGTAAATTCTCCTTAACAATGACATGTAATATCTGTGCAGTGTTAAACACATTATCGCCCTTTATATCTCTGTGTGGCTGGCAATGACAAAGAATATTACGGATTTCTTCTGTAATGTGAGATCAAAACGCCCATCATTTTCACATGTGTCACCTATCCAGATATTTAGAAGTTTGCCCTCCTTGCAAACTCAAAATTTTGTTTATAAATACATTTTTGGCATTCGTTTTTTGAAACTATTTAGAATTTTAGTCCTCATGTCCTTTCCTCATTTTCGAAAGTTTATAAATTCCTCTTCAGAGTTCCTAATAAATACTGCAAACTCGAGTTTATTATTGTCACGGATGACGTAAAGAGTCCTTGTGTCATTGGTTTTTCAACAAGGTATTGCTATTTTAAATGTAATTAACTTTTTCTATATGTTGAGTAAGAAATCCTTTTTAATTGTTTTAAAAATTGTTTACGTTCGTCAGCAAAAGTGTTAATTAAATTGGTTTTTTTTGCATTGTATGAACTTGTCCATATTGTCTGACAATTGTCCATATTAATTGATTGTCAATTATACAAAGTTAATAATTTTAACCCTAAGCTGAAATCTTGTAATCTACTGTACATAACTACAGAATTATCCCTTGCACATAAAAATGCAAAGAACAATACTATAATAATTTGAACATTTAACAAGTACGTCGGGATTCACACTGACATTTTCTAGTGTTCATCCAGTGAAAAATTTTGTTAATTTCTTATGTATTTTTTAAAAAGAAAAATATATCAACATGGCAATGTTTTAAAGTAGTCATATTTAACTTACTACCTATCATTACGGATTATTATAAAAGTAGTAAAAGAAGCAATACAAAGTTTTGGAGCAGAAGGAAAGCTAAGGTAAATATTACTTGGGGGACATAATTCATTTATTTCTGAATTATACACAGGCATATATATCCTTCTGTAGAACCAGAGAGTAAAAATTTACTTATTGGCACTGTTGGTCACATATCTATCTAAAACGAAAGAGAATAAAGCCAATAAAAACCAATTATCTCAAAAGAATCATTAACACATGTGAAATAATTTTACCACTCATTTGGGCATAAGCATTGTGATAGAATTTGCCTTAAAGCGTTTATTATGCTAAATTGTTGTAGAAAATGCACAGAGGGAGAATGTCCTACCTCTTGCTTTTCTCGTGAAAAATATACAAGTGTGTGTGTATCACTATACAACGATATGTGCTTGGCTGTTACTGAAAAAATTGGCACTTTTCGTAACTGCAATATTTCTCCCTTAATCTGTAAATGAGGAAAAAGATAATAATTTATACAACAATGTGGGGAGACGAACTTCGATTTAAACTTGGGAGAAGTGGTAGTTTTTCTAATTATGAATATATAATATTCAAAGAATAACCATAAGTTCGCCAGACTATGTAATAAATGCACAATATCGTATGACTAGTGATCTTATCTATCTAGAATTCTTACACTTAATTATATCAAATACAATGAACGCTGACAAACAAAATATGAGTGGACGCCCATGTGCAGAGCATTCTATTTAAGTCTACAGAAATATAAAAATATTTCGAACTACCTCTCTGTCATGACAGGAATTATGGAAACACAGTTTATAACGCTGTTGACTACAACTGAAAATTAAAACAATTGTCATTATGATTAGAACATTGCTTTGTCGCAGAGAACTCAAGGTGAAGAACCTCAGATTCTTTGGTCGCCTATCAGGTAAATACTAAGTTGTAGGAATTTACAATCTTAGTGTTGTATGCTCAATCCTTCTGAGGCGCTGATGTGTAGAAATATGTTCATGGTAATTTAGAGTCACTTACGTCATGATTACTAGACACACAAGTAAAAATAGTCGAGAAGAAGAACACCAAAGACATATATTTATAGAACTTATACTCAGATTAGACAAATGGACGACTATGGAGATCGTCATAAATATTCTATACCTATACATTTACTGTACGATGCAAGGACATGACTCATCTTTAAATCAGGGGTCCCCAACACAATTACTAGGGCTGTACAAAGAAACTAAGAAATTAATACAATCTTTTGTTAATCCCATTGTCATACGTTTTAGATTATTTAATTATTTATAACCTTATATTGATGATAAATTGATTGTTATTAAATGACAACGTCTAATTGAGTGTGCGCGTTCTACGCATTAAATATTTATCACACTCACGATAATACTTCGATCTTATATATTTATTTTAAGATGTATAGTCTCTTTTGTTATAAGTGTTAATTATTTGTTTCGTTTTATAATAAAGGACTAATCAAAGTTCAGAAAGGTAATATGCCAATCTTACTGCTGAGCTTACTTGGTAACGGCTGTCACGACCACAATGGCGGAGGCAGCAGGTAGCCGAGAGTGCCAGCTGCATAGGCTGCTTGCGCTGAGGCTGAGTGGCGCGCAACCCTTGTTCTTAGCCGTGTCGCACATACGTAGGTAGAAGGCGCGGCAAGCGCGCGGCGGCGGCGCTTGGCGGTCCGCAGTCCGTACCTCGCCCGCCACCCGCTACCAGGCCCACGCGGCGTAGCCCCATCACCGGCGCCACCGCCAGCGCCAACCAGATGGTGGCGCGAACGGCGGCGCAGCGGCGCAGGGACCACGCGGGTATTGGGAAGGCGCGAGGCACAATGAGCAACGACAGTTTGTCGTGCAAACTGCCGCTTCCGCTGATGATCTGACCCGTAGACGAGAAATGCGGAATCCATCGGGCTGGGGAAGCCGTGAGCTGCGAACTCAATAGTGCCTCTAACAAGTGATTGGTCAGGCATTGGTAGGTATACTTTACGAATCCACGAAAACGGAAATACTGAAACATGAGACAACATTAAAATTAGACTTTAATTGACATCAAGAAGAACAGAATACCATTCACCACATTATGTGATCAAAAGAATCCGAACACATATGGTGTTGTGGGGTTTTCATGAAAAGGGCTTGAACCACTTGTTTTGTGTGATACTGTCATGGCACAGGCCTACGTTGATGTTTTAATCATTTGCTTGCTTCCCACGGTTGAAGAGCAAATCGGGGATGGATTTGCTTTGCGGGGAACACCATCGAGCACCTTTTCGTACTGTACGATCACGGCGGAGTGGTTACACGACAAAACTATCGCTATAATGGACTGGCCTGCATAGAGTAGCGACTTGAATTTTTTTGGGATATTTTGGAACACCGACTTCGTGCCAGGCCTTAGGGACCTACATCAATACCACTCATCAGTGCAGCACTGCGAGAAGAATGGGGTGCAATTTTCCAAGAAATCTTCCAGCACCTGATTGAAAGTATGCCTGCGAAAATGAAACCTGTCATCAACGCTAAGGGTATGCCAACACACCACTTAATTCCAGCATTACCGATGGAGGACACCACTAAAAGGAAATTCATATACAGAGATGTGTCCAGATACTTTTGATCACATAATGTATCTTGTTAAATATTGTGCGCAATTGTGAAAACTAATAGGTTCAATGGCATAACATATTACTCGCACATTTTATATTAGTGAATTTAAATTTTGTTTGAAACGTGTTAATAATCTAGCATATTCTTTGAAATTGATTAGATTCATAGATTATAATTTGTACTTAATACATAAAAACTAGGTATCACATTTCAGTGGATTATGTAGAATTTAGAACAGAAAGACCTAAAAGGTTTTGTAATAAAACGGTAAGACAACATTAAAAAAAATCATGTTAAGCGTAAATGGGTTTTTTGACAAATTTAATTTTCTATGTTGAATCAATACCATTTCTTTAATTTCATTTACGAGATATGATAGTACATAAATAAGATAACAGACACATTGCAAAAAAAAGTACCCAGTAAGAACAAATTTAACTGGTTATTGACATTCCTCGCATTTTAACGAGAGTGTGAAGACGTGTGTGTCTTCGGTCGCTGCAGTATTTCGAACGAGACGACTGCAGCGCGCCACATGGTGGTTTCTCAAAAAGCGCTCCGTTTGTTTACTTTCTCTCTACGAAGAAGCCACAAAGATATGTAATGCTGGGCGAAAAAAACCGCGAGTTTTTGGCAGAAAAACTCTTGTTACAGAGCCCTGGTAACGAAAAAGCGAATACAGTTGCTTAATTTAGAGAAAAATGCAAGAAGAAATGTGGCAGGGCTCGTTCTCATTTATCTCTCCAAATTTTGGAAAATTACCTGTGGGAAGTATTTAGATTTTTACGCGATGGTCCAAACCAGTACGGGAGAACCCTACGTCGTGAAACGGTAAAGGTGGGTGTGATGAATAACCTCGATGGAGCTGAGTTCGAGGCGCGGCGCGCAGACAAATCTTTTCTTGTTGGAAACACTTTATATGTTTATGTACTATTTCCATACCATTGTGAAACCATTACAAATTATGCGAGATATTATGTTCTATTATAGTATGACTACAAGCTTTTTCGCGTTTATCCTACATTACATACACAAACTTACGTTTGCTTCCGGACTTTTAATTTTTGGAGGGGTAAACCATAATATATTAAGTCGCTTTTCCAACTCCATTAATATACTCATCTTCTCTCCTATCAGTCGACTTTTATATCCGTACGGTCTCATATCAATACTTGTGTATTCCAGTGGAATAGCAGGAATTGTCATCATTGACCACCGTTTTGTTAGATCGCCCAACATCACGTTTGTTATATATAAACAAGTTTGTCCTACGCAATGATATACAGATTGCATTTGGCGCACTGATTCCACGCAAAACCTTTCGGTGTTTTCGTTCTCCATCTCCCTCACAATTGTTAAAAAGTAGGTCTGATGAGTCATTAGTGCGTTTGCTATTGCTTCATGTTGTTGCCATTTAGGAATATCTGTATTTAATTTTTCTTCAGTGAATGTAATCACAACACGTGCTGCTGAGTTTAACTGTAGTGAACGACATCTCCGGAAAAACAGTTCCTGTTACACAAAAACAAAATATTAGTCTGTCACACTCAATTTGTGCCTACATTTAGAAAGACACAATGACTATATTCACACATTTCCTGAGCAACACATAAGTGTTGTTTTTTTCTTCGCTTGTGTGAAGGAAGGTAAGGTAGACTCGAGGGATGAGTAGGATATCGAGTTAAATGTTAATGGATGATGTTCAGAAATAATAAGAAAAAGCCTTGTGGGTCACCCCCATGATACATCTTTTGTCGTGGCTGGGGCCCGGTCTATTATGAGTGGTCATTTAACACCGTCACCAAACTGGAAAGCTTATAGGTATGAGGTTGTACGGCGGTAACACCCAGGAGTACATAACTAAACGTATGGGGAAGATCGTTGCATTCCAGCGTATCCACGTGCCAGACTGTCGATGTGCAATTCGTGGATTAGTGCAATTCGAA